AATAGGGGGGGGGGTACAAAAGTTGATGACAGAACACTAACGAGGGAACCCCTCGAAGTGATTAAACGCTCTTTGCTCTGAATCTAGTGGGTTATAGGTTATCGACCATGCTGATTATGAATACGACCGTGGGGCTTCCCCATAGCCCTTCGAAGACCTGGTTTTCTAGAAAACCAGTTTTTCAAAAACTCTAAAATGTAATCCGAACTTTTCTTAATGAGGCATGATTGTAGCCCGCACACTTTTTATTAAAATGAGGCATCTCCCAGCTTTGTACGCCCTTTCTTTGCACAGTTATAGAATTTAGAAGAAAAGCCCTAAATGTTCATTGTTAGCTCAAAGCTGCTGAAATAAGAAGAAATTAATTTAGGGCTTTTCTTGTAAATTCTATAACTGTGCAAAGAAAGGTCGTACAAAGCTGCAAGATGTCTCATTTTAATAAAAAATGTGCGGGCTACAATCATGCCTCATTAAGAAAAGTTCGGATTATATTTTAGAGTTTTTGAAAAACTGGTTTTCTAGAAAACCAGGTCTTCGAAGGGCTATGGGGAAGCCCCACGGTCGTATTCATAATCAGCATGGTCGATAACCTATAACCCACTAGATTCACTTCACTTCATCTCCTCTAGCGAATGCTGAAAACCGCATAGTTCCAGCTCTTACCGTTAAAAGGTTATTCAAAAAATGTCGGGGATCGTTCTTTTTATGAACGGATAGTAGTTTATGGGCAGCCGTAATGTGTCACTACAGTATCTTTTTTAAATTTTCATAACCAAAGAGTCTTGATGGATTTGCCTAGACTAAAGAATATTAGCTGAATTTTATCCAAGATGGTTGATCTGTTCTGTTTATGTTCTACGTCTTTCTCTTACTTTTCTCTTGTACAAGATGAAATTATATCTTCGAAACCCCCAACAGAAGGTCATGACCTTCTATTATGGTTTGGCACTTTTTTTGGTGGAAAATTGTCCTGTTATATATTTCTGAAAATAAGATGAGTGAACAAAACGCTTATGACTCCTATATAACTAACTATTTTTCCGAAGAGGTTTTCTCGGCAGACCTCGTCCAGTAAAACTCGTAGTACCTCAAAATTAGTCGACAAAAAAGTTTTTTTTTAAGTGGGTCATAGACTATTGACTACCCTGATTCTCAATATCACCATGCAAGGGGCCCTAAGGTTTTCAGAGAGCGGTTTTCTGGAAAATCAGTTTTTCGAAAACTCTAAAAATAATTAAAACCTGTTCTTAATGAGTTAGCATTGTAGCCGGTAAATTTCTGATTAAAATGAGACAGTTCTCCCAGCTCTGGAACACCTTTCATTGCAAAGTTACAGAATTCACAAGAGAAGGCCTAAATGTTTATTGCCAGCTTAAAGCTACAGAAATAAGGAAAAAATTAATTCGCCTTATCGTGTAAATGCCTCATTAAGAACAGGTTTTGGTTAATTTTTAAAGTTTCCGAAAAACTGGTTTTCCAGAAAACCGCTCCCTGAAAACTAAGGGCAGCTGGCACAGTGATATTTGGGATCAGGATAGTAAATAAACCTCCGGAAAAATCGCCGGGAAAAGCTCATCAGAAAAATATACTTTCTACATGAATAAACGTTCCACGAGCTGCTCTTTCCAATGGTGAAAACCGCAGGTCTCTAGGCCTTTTCATTCCAGAGTTATAAGCGTTTTATTCACTCATCTTATTTTAAGAAATATATAATATTTGGTTGTTAAAGATTTTCGTTGCAGACTAGCCTTCTATTATAGGAGGATTACTTATTTTTTCTTATTATTAGTATGCCATTTATATATGCGATATTATACGTTCGATCACAAGGAAAAAACAAACGTGACACAACAATATGAGCACTAACAAGTATAAACATGATCCAGTTCATTATGAATTAGAACGTAATGGTCCGAAACAAGATGTAGAATTCACTCGTGAACAAGTCAATGATTTGATAAAAAAACACTTAAATAAAACAGTAATTAAATATGATCCATTGGAACGTGGTGCAAATAATTCAATATATTTAATTGTAACAGAAGATCAACATAATTATGTTTTAAAAGTTACTGGTCGTTTTTGGACAAAATATAAAACTGAAAATGAAGTTCATGCATTAAAATTAATATCAAAATATACAACAATTCCAGTATCAAATGTTATTGCTTTTGATTCAAATAAATCAAATGATTATGGAGAAGAATGGATTTTAATGACAAAATTGGCCGGTCAACCATTAGATAAACGTTGGCCAAAAATGTCAAAAGAAGAAAAAAAAAAACTTCTTTTAAAATTATCATTATATATACAAGAACTGAAACAAAATTTACCGAAATTCGATAAAATCGGTGGTTTATCATCATTTGACACAATTGGATCTGATCCTCATGGAAATGGTCCATGGTTAGGATTTCAAGAATTTTACAATGATCGTTTACAAGTTGAAATAGAAGCTTTAAAACAAGATAATGTTTTTGATCCCATACGTACAGATGTTTTAAATATGTTGATGAATTTAAAAAATTAAATATTCATTTAAATAATATAGAATTATGTTTTACACAAGGTGATTTAGATCTTCAAAATATACTTATTAATGATGATGGCATAATAACAGGTATGAACGATAATATCAACTATTTTAAAATATTCATTTTATTCAATTTATTTTAAGTATATATTTGACATTTCGATAGTAGATGTTTACATGTACGCGGCTTGTCCAAAGGTAACGCTGTGACATGTTTGACACAGTAGTTTACATTTTTCTTGAAAACTGTAGAACTGCTTGTCCAGCTAACGGTATCCTTTTTTCGCTCTTTTTCAAAAGATTATTGTAGTAAAGCTACAAACTAATCTAAAATTGCTTACATTAAACATTTCTCTACAAAATGAAAAGTGTCTTGGCTCTGAATGCTGATTAGGTATGAAACTACAGCTGTCGTACAAACAGCCCCAAAAATCGATTTTGGAGCTATCTGAAAAACGTGTCTAAAAGACTGAAGACGAGCAATCGAAGATTCAACAAGTATACCAGTTTGTAGAAAATTGTTTGCCCTACAGTTTCGAACTTAACAAGCTATCACATCTTGTAGAGCAAACAATTTTCTACAAACTGGTATACTTGTTGAATCTTCGATTGCTCGTCTTCAGTCTTTTAGACACGTTTTTCAGATAGCTTCAAAATCGATTTTTGGGGCTGTTTGTACGACAGCTGTATTTTCTTAACTAATCAACATTCAGAGTCAAGACACTTTTCATTTTGTAGAGAAATGTTTAATGTACTTAATTATGTAGTTGCAATTTTAGGTTAGTTTGTAGCTTTACTGCAATAATCTTTTGAAAAAGAGCGAAAAAAGGATACTGTTAGCTGGACAAGCCGAAAAGCTAGAAAGTTCGTTCTGGCGTCATTCAACGCAGTTCACCAAACTCTACTTACGATATAAAAATGAAGATTTTCAGAAGATTTTGTGCTCCCAGACTCTAAAAAACGGGTCCTGAAAATTTTTATTTTTTTTGTTTTTTGATACTTCCATTTGATTCCACATGTGTTATCAGATTTATGAGTTTCAGATTTTGTGGACACTTTCTTCTGGGTGCCAGCAAAAGAGAAAGTATCGTCAAAATTTTGAGCACCTTTTCTCCGCAGTGCAGCTTCTCTGTATTTTCAATTTTAAAGATTGACATTAAGAGGTTTAGCGGCGGCTACGTATTATCCCATAGAAAAAAACATCATAAGCAGCTTTTACACAGCTTGTCCACGTAATTCCTATGGCAGAGATGTCACACCATTACCATTAGCTGTTTACTTGTTAATCGGTGTTACTCACCAGTAAAGTAACAAAAATAGAAATAGTTATTTATACAAACAAATATTTCAGATACTTCTTTGTCAGACGTTCCACTATCTTTTAGCACGTATTTCGCCCTCACAAAACCTTTTTCAAAAAAGTTTTTATGAGCAAACAAAAAAAAACCTTGTTTTTTGTTACTGTACCAAAAGTAACACAGTAACAAACATTTGTTACTTTGTTACTACTAACAAGTAACATCTTCGTTACGTGTTACTAGTAACAATAGGGGTAAACAGCCAGCCCTAACCATTACTTTTTTTGTACATTTTGTTTTGACTATAACTCCGAAGCTAGAAGTCGTAGAGAATTCGAAGACGTTTTAAATTTGAAGAAAAAGCTGTTTTCTACATTTTGAGTTCTGTTTACACTCTAGATAACCTATCCGCATAAAGCTGTAATCCAAATGTTGAGAGCTGCTTTTTAAGAATTTAAACCAAAGGTGTAGATCTCAGCATTTTGACCACGGTTTTTTCAGATAGCTTTCCCAGAGTCTGGCCAGATCTTAAAATGTAGAAAACAGTCTCTTTCTTAATTTAAAACGTCTCCGAACTCTCTACGACTTTCAGTTTCGGAGTTATAGGCGAAACAAATGAGCAAAAAAGTAACGCTGTGTCTCTGACATAGGAGTTGCGTGACCAAGCCGTACACTCTCATTACCGCTCCAAAATGCTTTCCCAAAGTGAATCTGCAGATAAGTTTTCGAAAAAGCACACTCTTGGCCCCAAAACTCATTCTCAAGGTCAAATCTGACTTCGCCAAATCTTGTCCGAGAACAAGGACAATCTTTTCACATAAACATCTCGAGGCACCGTATCGATTAGTTACTAGACCGAAGCTTCCAACTGAAAAGTAAAAATTTTTGCTTAAATTTTAAAAATGGACAGAAAAAAATTTTAATTTTTGTTTTTTAGGAAACTATAAGTCCGTAAGCCTCCTAACTCATTTCATATATATTTTGAAGTGTTCTGTACAGTTCGGGAAAGTTTGAACCATATCTGACGGGGGACAACCCCTCCTTCGAAGCAAAGTTCAATTTCTTCTCTATCCTTCATCTTCCTGTTTCATGTCATATTTTCAATTCCACTGTACATGTAAACATCTATTATGGAAATGTCGAATATCGGCTTAAACTCGCGTGACGGAATTACATTTTTTCAACTTTTGGGCTCTGTTTCTCCTCATATACTAAACAAAAGATGATGAAATTTTTATCAGAGATGTGCGGTAGAATGCTTGGTTTGTGGTAAAAATTTCGAATGCGTCGGTTAAGTAGAACGATTTTTATG